CTCTTCCTCCTCCCTAGTTTTGCACAGGTTTTGCCTTCTTTTTTATGGACCTCAAGGTGGGCTGCTCATAGTATTCAGGTGTTCAAAGACATAATGATAATGATGAAGCACTTTTTGAGGCATTATTTTTACTATCAGATCCTTACAACTCTATCACAGCAGCTCCCTACCGTACTGTGCCCGGCAAGGGTGCCGGAGCCAGGGTAACTCGGCGGGAGCTTAGGCCACCTAAGCAAGCTATAGTGATTTTCAGCTCTTAGTGATTATCAGCTCTCAGTGATTTCAGCTCTTTAGCTTGCTAGGTGCCACAGCAGCAGACGCAGGGAGAGAGAGGAGAAGGCTGTGTGGGGTTCCGCAGGATTCTTTATTCTTCGGGTGTTCCGCAGAGGTTCCCAGTGACAGCTCTTCTGCCGAACCAGGCAGAATTAGCGGTTTTTATACCCTACAGAGGTTTTGAAAACTGTCCTATAGTAAGGGTCAGGGGAAAGTGACCTATGGGCTTACAGAGAGATAAGCAGGGTCCGAAGGAGGAAGAGAGGGGCTGCTAGGGTCCAGTCATGCTGACTTGGCATTTCCTAGCTCAGGCCTCTGACCGCCAAGGCCTCGCAGGCCTTGAGCCTGCTACAGAACTCCTTGCTACGAATATTAAAAACCTCCTATTTACTTAATTGATCAAGTGAAAAATTACTTTTAATTGCTCATGTTAGTCCTGGGTGGAAAAAAAAAGAGAAAATGCTGAATTGGCAGGCTGTGAATATGCCATTTTTAAAGGAAGCAGCAGCATTCTCCTGTCTGGGTTTCAATTTCATCAATACAGGGATGATAAATTAGGCTGCTGTGCCATTAGAGATGTCACTCAGACTGTAACTCCTCTTTGCCAAGCAATATACAGTTCTAGGCTCAAAGGAGGCTTTTTTTTTTTTTTAAATTTTCCATTAAACTGTGTCAGCATTTCCCAGGCTTGGAAATTTCAGAGCAGTAAAGTCAGTCACATTCTATCTGTGTTCCTGCTTAGTGTTGTTAAGCCCCTTCATGCCTAAACATGTCGATTTCATGGCTAATCCATTGCTGATGTTAATTTGAATCTTTTCAGGACTCCACACTTCACTCTTGCTTATTGTGCTGTATTGGGTCTGGCTGAGATAGAGTTCATTTTCCCTTAGCAGCCGTCACAGTGCTGTAATTTGCCTTGGTAGCAAGAAAGGTGTTGATAACACATCAGTGGTTTTGCTACTGCGGAGCAGCACTGTTCTCTCTCATGGTACCTTATCAAGGGACTGGGAGTGAGCAAGATCCTGGTAGGGGACACAACTATGCCAAAATAGCTGACCCAAATAAACCAAAGGGATATGCCATACCATATGATATCAGCTCAGATATAAAAGCTATGGGAGAGAGGAAGAATGGGGGACATTTGTTATATCACTTTTGCCTTTTGAAGCAACTGCTCCAGAATTGTGTGCTGAAACCCTGCTTCTCAGGAAGTGTCCGAGGTCACACCACTACAATATTTTTGGCATCCAGTGTGTGCTGTGAGGCAAAAGCAGTAATATATAAATATACATATTTATAAATAGTATTTATCAAGTAGCAAGCTTCTTTGTGGGACATGGAGTTTGTCAGCTGCATTGCTTCTCTCTCTCTTTTGAGTTTGAGAACATGTTAATACAAACAGTGGCTGTGTGCTTTTCCTTTACACTGATGATGTAACACTTGTTATGCTGGGGGAGCTATCTTCTGTGGATGATGAAGGAGTACACCTCCTTCTCCCTGCCCGAGACTGATTTGAATGCATTTATAATGCAATCTTCCACAGTCTTTGCTCATCCTTATGTAAGCAGCTTAATACTGTTAATAATATCAACTAATACTGCTGGTTCACTATGGAGTTTATGGAATCTGGTGCCATCCTGATGTAAGAGAAAACAAATTTTATTAGGAGATAGTGAAATCTGCACTGAGGCATTCAATTTCTGGGTGGCAAGGTGCATGGAAGGATTTGGGCATGTTTCTAGGGCAATTATCACCTACCATCACCTGGGGGTTTACACCTGAACAGGTGATCAACCCTGACAAGCTGGCCTATCAACTGATAGAAAGGTGTCTTGTCTAGCCCAATGAACACTAGCAGCTTCTCACCCTGTACTGGGGCCTGGCCTGTGCCTACTGAACCACAGTTCTGTACTCTCAGAGGACTGTAGTTATAGCAGGAACCCAAACTGCATTTGAGGACACTATAACTGAGACAGACTCAAACTACAGTAACTAAAGTTATTACTCTAGTAATGGAAAAAAAAATTGACAAGGTAACAGGCTCATACCATTGATTAGTAAGGGAGGAAGAAGAAGAAGAAGAAGAAGAAGAAGAAGAAGAAGAAGAAGAAGAAATAGGAGAGGAGGGGTTAGATGGAAGAAGCAGATCCTTCAATAGCAGGTCCTTCAACACAGAAATTGAAAGGAGTGAGGCAAATCAAACAGGAAACCCAAGTTACTCTGACTTCATCAGAACTTTGAGACTTGAGAAAAGACTACAGTCACCAGCCAGATGAATGGATTTCTTCGATGCTGGGATAATGGAGCCAACACTCAGCAGTTAGAAGGTCATGAAGTCCAACAGCTGGGATCCCTTGCTAGAGATTGGGAAGTTGAAAGAGGAATTGGAAAAGAATGAGCAATTTTCAGCCTCTGTAGACAGCTCCTCTCAAGCGTGAGGGCAAGATATTAATTTAAGGAAGATCTTTTAAGATCATTTATGGAAGCTCCACTATTTGATATCGAACAGGGTAGAGCTCCAGAACACCTGCAATGTCTTGATGATATCATTGTGTGGGGCAATACAGCAGAAGAAGTTTTTGAAGAAGGAAAGAATAAAAAATCCAAATCCTTCTGAAAGCTGTTCTTGCCATAAAACAAAGTTAAGGGAACTGCACAGGACATCCAGTTCTTGGGAATAAACTCCTCAGGAAAGTGGACCACCACAGCTGAAGTTATCCAGTATCTGAGAGAATTAGCAGTGCTGGAAGTCATCTATAGAAATCTGAAAAAGGATAAAGTCCTTAAAGATACAGAGGCTGTCCCTTGCACAATGGCCATGTGGAGGAAGGCGGTTCAAAGAGCCCCTGCATCATATTTCAGCAGCTTCATATCATAGTATTACCTGCAAATGCATACATCAGCTGTAGAAATTGAATCTTCTTGGTCTGAAATGCAGCAGAAACTCTGCATACTTTCACATACCTATGAACCAGCAGCCCAGTTTTTAGGGGCAGCCCAAGAGATTGGTTCTGTCCTGCCTCAGTCAGAGAGAAGGGAAGCCCCAGATGGAGGCCAGATAGCTAACTCTGTTTCTTTCTTCATGACTGGGGCTTCATGGCCGGGAAAGCTGGTGTGGCTGGTGTGGATTTCTCCTTCCATGAGGAAAGGCAAACCCATTTGTGGGATTGTTTTTGCCCAAGGACCAGGGTGTATTTGGTAGGTAGTGTGGAAGAGTTGGGAGACCTGCTGTGTGACTCAAGGAAATTTAACCTTGTGGGAAAAACAATCTGTGGCATAAATTATGTGTTGCAGGAAGTAAAGTAGCAGGAATGACTTGAACTGATGAAGAATTAATTTTGTGATGGGCAAGGAGGATGCAATGATGACTCGAGCCAGGCCAGTCTTCATTCCCAGTGATCAAGTATGCTTCTTCTCCTGTCTTGACTACCCATTCTGATTGAATGGAGCCCAAGTGATGGATCTGGAGAGATGGAGGAAGCCCATGAAAAGGGAAAGTAATATCAATCTGTTAAAGGACAGGGGTAGTAGTTAATGAAAGTGTATATTGGGTATAGAGATGGTGTAAGGATGTAGTTAAGTTGTAAGCATGGGTAAAAACGGATTCCAGTAATGAGAAATACAATGGAGGAGTTGGAAGATATATAAATTATGTGAGATCTGAGGAGGATGCAAATAGTATGAAATAAGGGGTGGAAATTGTATTGGGGCTGACAAAAATAGAGTTCATTTTCCCTTAGCAGCCCCAGCAGTGCTGTGCTTTGCATTGGTAGCTGGATACGTACTGGTAACACACCAGTGGTTTTGCTACTGCTGAGCAGCACTGGCACAGCATCGGCACTGTCTCTAACATTGTCTCGCATGGCTCCTATCAAGGGACTGGGAGTGAGCAAGATCCTGGTAGGGGACAAAACTATGCCAAAAGTGGCTGACCCAAATAAACCAAAGGGGTATTCTATACCATATGATATCAGGTCAGATATAAAAGCTATGGGAGAGAGAAGGAATGGGGGACATTTGTTATGTTACCACTTTTGCCTTCTGGAACAACCATTCCAGAAGTGTGTGCTGAAACCCTGCTTCCTGGGAAATGGCTGAATATTGCTTGCTGATGGGAAGTAGGTATTAATTGTTTTCCCTTTTTCTTATGCATGTGTAAACTTTTGCTTTTCTTTTTTTTTTTTTTTTTTTTTGTTCTTGCTTTTTAAACTGCCTTATCTCAACCTACTAGTTGTTTTCCATCTTATTTTCTCTCCACTGTCCTGGCGTAAAGGGGAGTGATAGAGCAGACTGGTAGGTATCTGGCATCTAGCCAAGGTCAACTCACTACACATGCACTGAAAATATTCACCAACTTCACTGGCAAAGGTAGACCTGAGTCATATTCTTGTTGTGTACTTGTTGTGACATACTTTACTGCAGAGGCAGTTGGGGGTCTGATGGCTTGACCTTGACGCCGCAACCTTCCCAGAGAGAGGTCCCACAAGAGAGAGCTTTCTAGGAGTCTTAGGCAGTCCTTCAGCTGCCAGGTAACCTCAGCAAGGGGTAGGCATCTCACCTCAGCTCTTAGAAGTGATTTCAGCTCTTAGTGATTTCAGCTCTGCCTTGCGAGGTGTACCCTGGCCAACACAGGGACAAAGAGACAGGAGCACTGTGTTGTTGTTCCACAGAGATAGCCTTTATTCCAGCACCTTGCGAAGGATGCTAGTGATGGCAGCTCCCTCCTGAACAAGGCAGAAACTGGGGTTTTATGGGAAAAGCAGGGGTGGTACAAAGGGGGAAAAACCAATCAGTCCCAACAAATCTACATGGGGTTCCAAAGCATGCTGGGAACTCACCATGACCACGGAGGATTTCTCAATCCATGAGACTTTGGGAAGCTCTTATCATAGCCCATTCAAGGGATATTTCTCCAAGGGAGAGGGCTGTCACGTCCATCTGTTTCCACACTTTACTGTGGATCTTATATTATGTTGTCACTTGAACTATACATGATTTATATTTTAAGTATTATCTCACTGATAGATTAATAGGATAACAACTAGTACACTTTCTAAGTAAGAGGTATCCCATTAATCATATAGTGGACCTCTTGTGCAATTTAACATGCAATTATTTATTGTAAGCTCATTGATTACATTTTGAGAGTATACATTCACATATATTTGTGAATGGACTGTATTCTCATGAAAGATGTTGGGTCAGTCACAGTGGCAAATGGAGTCCAAACTAATAGGGTCCTCAGCTGTCTGTATAAGTGACTTAAAAAGATAACTAAATTCTGTCCACCAGGCTAGATAATCTTCAATCTCTTTGCTTAGTTCCGTAAGGGTTCATCTGGCAGTGCTACTCCATCTATCCCAGAGTATTAAGGTCAGCAGACAGTGTCCAGTTCTATCTTTTTTTGGGTAAAATATTCTACCAATACCCATCTCTCTACAAATGCTGTAGCTGTCTGTGAAAACAATTCTTATTTGAATCATTGAGGTAAACTATTTGAAAAGTCACAATGCTCTTCCACCTTGCAGTAAGCATATGCCATTGAGAAACATTATTCCTTTTATTCAAGTTTTACCTTCCTGCTGTGAGTTTGAATCTTTACAACCTCTCCTAACTAATTCAATTTAAGAATTGAATCAGAATTCAATTTAAAAAGCAGATGTGAAAAGAAATTATTTGGAGCAAAAGGATCAACTATCCAACAATTTTATCTTTCACCAAGCCAGTGGAGACAATTACCTGCAGGCATTGCACTTCCCTAGTGTTTCTCCTCTGAGATCTCTGCCCTGCATCCTATTTGATGCATCTGTCAAGGCTGAGAGCCCTTAGGTGTAATTTTAATTCTAAAATAAATTTATCTTTTCCTCCTTACAGACACAAGTCATGAGCAGATACAGGCAGATGAAATTTTTGCTTTGCATTTCAGACACTCTAGAATTGAATCCTGACCCTCTCACCTTCTTCATCTATCCCATCAGCTCTGCACATGGGAATTTTCACTGTGGTCAGTGTTATTTCAGGAAAGGAAAGTTGGACAAATGAGGTCAAGTGTCAGGCAAAAAAAGCAATTTGAATCACGAGCTGATGTTTTACTACTCTGCATTACCACTTCTAGTGCCAGGTACTGCATGAGTACCACACTGCACAAAACCAGATCTGACCTGAGGTGGATTCCGATGTTGTGGTGTGATGTCATGGCTTGCCTCAGTTTGCCAATATTTCTCATTGGCAAAAATGCTAGGAAGCCACTTGTAGTAAACTGACAGAATCCTTCAAACCCTGTGTAACTGAAATTTCTGCCATTCATGTCCCATGATGCTTGCTAGGAATTATGAGATGCAGATAAGCAGATAAGCACTTGATGGTAGTTTAAATTCAAGTGTATAACTGAGAAAATTATTTACAAATGTGAAAGATCTTTTTTAATGTGTTGCCACTTTGAATGACCCATTATTATTTGCACTGTATTATTGAAATACCACTGTAATCTAACTGTGGATTATGTCTCCATCTTTTTCTTCATCTTCCATAATCACTGTTTGTTCTTCTTCTGTAAACAGCTTAGTGTCTTAAAAAGAGAAGAACACAAAAAACAAACAACAAACAAACAACAAAAAGGTGGAAAAGTGAGTTGATTTAATATACTACTTTCTAGAAAATATCAGGCAGAAGAGAATTTTTCAGTTCTCCCTTATTTCTTGATTTTAATATCATTTTCCAACATCATGTGAATTACTCCTCATTTCTTTCTGGCATTTCAGTCTCTTAATACTTACTGAACTAGAGTGGAATCACTGCATTTTTAGCTAAAATTATTAAGTGTTCTTAAATCCAGTATATTTTTGCTACCTGTAAAAAGAGACTGAAATTTCATTTGGGAGCCTGTTTGTTAGAAAGGTTTGGGTAGCTAAATAAGGGAAAGAGCTTGCATGATGAAGCAAATACTGTAATTAATCTTTGTAACAGAAACAGCTTTTATGGACATGTATGTTTTCTCTATGTATATAGCATATTACTGAGATTTTGCAAATGCAGGTGAAACAAGAGACATGTTTAAATACCCACATGACAAGTGCCATCTCCACTGAAATGATATAGCATCAATAAATTGCAAAAGTTACTGAATGACAAATAATGCGAAAATAGACTTGGATTGTAGATCATACCTCCCACAAATCTGTCACTTTTCCTTTCTCTGTGTCTCTCTTTCTCCTTTTCTCTGTTAAACCAGTAAGTCTGTCCTTTGAGGATCTGGGGCTTTTATATTATACCAAGGTATAACAAATTTCCTCATTAAAAAATGCTTTCCTCATTAAAAAATAAGTAAGAATGATGCAAGAACAATGCACTAGGTACAAAAAATTTACCTATGCTGCCCTTCAAGTTAGCTCCTGCTTCATTTATATGCAGTTCTTGTGAACTAGCTGGTTTCAACAATGCTATGAGATAAACTGAAAGGCATAAATTAGTAACATTCATTTATGCCTTTCAGTTAATTTGAAACACAAAGGACTTCATTTGTTTAAGGAGCAATTAAGTAACTCTTGTTAATTGCAAAGAATGATGCCATTTTATGGAGATGGATGTAAATATTCCTCACACAGATTTATATCCCTATAGGCAACCTAGGCAAAAATAGTCAAGGGTTTTTTTCCTGATGCCTTTCAGGTGTGGGTTGTGTGTGCCACAAAGGGGAGTGGGGGTTATTTTTTGTTGATTTTTACATCCTGGGCCATTTGAGGGACAGGGAAAACATAACTAATATGTGCTTAAAATGTACCTTCAAATGCATGATGAAATTCAATCTATGTGCATTTGCTATTGAGAGAATGACAGAAACTAATGCAATTTTCAGTTGTTTTCAGTTATACCTCTATGACACTTTGTTGCCTACTGTTGAAGCCACCTCTGAACACTTGGCATGGAATCAAAGCAGCCTGCTAAAATGCTGCCTCTCTGTACAGAGCTTTTCAGATCCTGTATTCTGGATCTGTTTTCAAGTGAATAACTGTCTGTGGCAGACTGGTGCCTGTTATCAGGCAAAATAACCTATGTATTTAAATGCCTGAATTTCATTCCCTTCCTATTCTAAGGATGCATATTTAATTTTCAAGATACAGCCAACGTACATCATTCTGGCAGCTGAAATTCAGCAGTGATGGCTCCATGATTTGCTATGAAAAGCCTTTGGTTGAAGGCTGGCCCAATATTTGCTACTTATTTACTTTCAGATATATTCCATCTCGTAGCACACACAAAGAAACTAAGCTTTTATGGAACTGCTGTGCAAAACAGAACCTGAATTATAGACTTGGAGACTTGAGAAGACCCAGCAGAATTATGTGAGCTAAGTAAATATAGAGAAACCTTTCTTTCCTGTCTCCTTGTTATTAGCCTTACTGAAGTAAGCAGCACTCAGTGCTACATGGTATTGATGCCTTGGAGTGGCTACCTAGAACAGAAACTAGACAGAGTTAAGAGAATAAAGTGGGTATTTTTTAAAGGCCTTCAACAGGCCTTGGGCAGTGTAAAAGCCTCGCGGAGGCTTTTACATCCGCCCAAGATGGATGGCGGCACAGGTTTTTCAGGCAGATAGAAGTCTGTTTGCATATCAGGGGTTAATTCTCCAATTAAAACTTCAGGTAATGAAGCCATATTCCCTCAGTTTGCCCCTTCCCAATTCACTTTTGTTTATACTTTTCAGGGCCTGAGGCTGTGGTGTGTCCTTGGATCACAGGCCCAGAGGGATTATTTTGTCTGAAATGTAAAGACAGTTAACTACACTTTATATGCAGTTTAGAGCTATGCACTAATGTGTCAGAACCCAGGACATTCCTCTGGATGCCCTGGATGGCTCAAAGCCCTGGCAGGGGCTTGGAGACCCTGGCATGAAGCCAAAGACACCTGCGAATTCGATCTTAACCCACAGAGCAAATTACCAACCTTATATGAAGAATTACAAGTCACAAAAGTTTAAGTAGCATAATAGTAGTTGTCGCAGCGTGAAAGGTGAAATTTGTCTGAAATGTAAAGACAGTTAACTACACTTTATATGCAGTTTAGAGCTATGCACTAATGTGTCAGAACCCAGGACATTCCTCTGGATGCCCTGGATGGCTCAAAGCCCTGGCAGGGGCTTGGAGACCCTGGCATGAAGCCAAAGACACCTGCGAATTCGATCTTAACCCACAGAGCAAATTACCAACCTTATATGAAGAATTACAAGTCACAAAAGTTTAAGTAGCATAATAGTAGTTGTCGCAGCGTGAAAGGTGAAATTTTGAAGAATTTTACTATGAGGGTCTAGGGGTACAAGATGGAGGGATTTGGGTGTTGTCCTGCCCTTCTTCCTTCTTTCTAGCCTCCATCTTCTTGGTGGTGCTAGCACTTTGGGCTTGGTTTAGACTAGAAAGTCACTGTCTAACATAGGTGATAGGTATTGGAAAATAACTGTAAATATCGAATATGTGGTTTGTTGTATAAAAGACAACACCAGCCCAGAGGTGGCCAGAGTGTGCCTCAGACCGACCTGCAGAACAGGCCAGGCAGGCCAGACCTTGGCAGGCCAGACAGAAAATGTTTTAGATAAATAATAAACAATGCTGAGAACGACAGCCGAAGACTTCTGATTTCTTGTCACACAGCTGGGTTGGAGAAAAATACTTTTGACACACCTCGGGATCATCTCAACCAGGGAGGGAACCCAAGAGCTGGCGTCCCTGGGTGGGTGAAGCTCAGAGGTGAGCCGCTGGCAAGCAGCCAAGCCACCAGACACTGAATTCCAACCGAAGAAAAGGCACACCACCAGAGAGAAAAATCCCAGGAAGAACAACCTGACCCTTGCCGAAACAAATCACCTCAAGCACGGCCCGGACGAGAGGAAGACCAAGGCACCTAGGAATACTCACCTGTGATCTCCTGGCCAGGGACCAGGACTGTTATGAATAAAAAGTTATCAATATTTTTTAAGATTGCAGAGTTAAACAAGTTGAGCCAGTTGCTGTTAAATTGAAGGTTACCTGCATGTTGTACCCACCTATTGTTAAGAGTTCTTCTTCAATTACCTGTTACTGGTTGGTGATTAGCCATTGTCCCCCCTGATGCTTGCCAGGGAGTGACACCAGACCCCCCCGCAGGTAGCAAGGGGGGAGTGGCATCAGAGCTAGTATGCAGATGAGAATGCATTTCACCAGATTTTGCAATGTTCAGGAAAAAACCCCTAAAAACAACAAGCCAACATGGAATTAAGAGACCTAAATGATGTCTAAAGATGAGGACCTTAATCCAGTATCTGCTAAGATCCTTTCACTTCTCACCCTAACCTGAAAAGGTCTTAACTAGAAAGAGGACCGTAAGGACGGAAGCCCCAGCTATGCTTGCAGACCAGCAGATGCAGCTGCATCATCCTCCTCCTCCGTGCCACTCCTGGGAGCACCGGCAGCGTGGGTGCGACCCGTCGGTTTCTCCCCACCTAAGCTGATTCTTTTTAATAAAAACATTAAAAAGGAGAAAGATCTCCTGCCCCGTTTATTTCAACTTGGGGACTCATCCGCGATAGCCACGCCTGAAGAAGACACCGGGACTGGTGTCTGCCCACTGGGACTTCTTCCGCCCACCCTGGAACTGCAGGACAGCTGGCTATCAGGACCAGAGAAGATCAGCTTGGGACAGTGACACGGAGCAGCATCAGACTGGTGAGAGTATCCTGGCGGCTGGAGTGGGAGGCAAGTGAGTGGCGTGTGAGTGAGACGAGGGCCGGCAGCTCGGCACCTTGAAGTGAGTGAGGACCCCTCAGTACTGCGGTTCCGCACCCCCGCGAGGGGGCTGGCCGGGAACAGGGGGAAGCGAGTGGAATTGGTGATTGAGGCGCCTCCAAAGGGGTAAAGAGGACCCCCCTCTGGGCATGTGGAGGAAATAGTGTGTGAGTGGCACGCATCCCAAAAGCCCTGATACAGGTCCTAACAAAGGAAGTTAGCGATTTAGAAAATCAGGTAGTTTTGTTTTTAAGTCCTGATGACGGAGGTCAGGCACAAGGTCTGGCAGAGGAAGCCTATCTTGAGTTTTTTCAAGCCCTGATATGTAAGTCCTGATGGGGAAGGTCAGGCAAACTAAAAATCAGACCATACTTTTGGTTTAAGTCCTGACGAGAGAGGTTAGGCAAGCTCACAAGTCCCAAGAAGGATTCGGGCAAGTCCAAAAGTCCTGCAGGCAAAGTCCCGACGAAGGAAGTCAGGCATACAACCTCAGAGGCCAGGGTCTCGAGGTTTTGTTGGTTGAGTTTTGGCGAAGGAGGCCGAGGTCTCAACAAAGTCCTGACGAAGGAGGTCAGGCATACAGCCTCAGAGGCCAGGGTCTCGAGGTTTTGTTGGTTGAGTTTTGGCGAAGGAGGCCGAGGTCTCAACAAAGTCCTGACGAAGGAGGTCAGGCATACAGCCTCAGAGGCCAGGGTCTCGAGGATTTCTTTGTTTTGTTTGCTTGTTGAAGTCTTGGTGAGGGAAGCCGAGGTCTCAACAAAGTCCTGACAAGAGGAGTCAGACAAACTGGAGTTTCAGCAGAGGAGGCCGGGAC